CAGGGCATATAAGGCAAATGTACATCATTGGAAAACCTTTCTGCATCCCTCAAACAGTTCTGGAAACACATGTAAGGAACCATTGCTCTTCCAAGCCCACATCCACTCATATTAAAACCCCTTTGAACACAGAGGTGCCACTGTGCTGCTGGCTGGATGATCGCTTTCAGGCTAACCAGCTATTTTTTGCCCTTCGACTGGGACAAAATGAAATGCTAGGGTTTACTAGACTTCTTCACTTTGGGCTGTTTTGCAGGAGATTCAAATGATTAAGCACAGCACAGTGGCAAAGTAGTAACACAAACATCCAGTTAGCTTTAACCCGCAGCCAACAATCAGTAAGGAAAAAAACGATGAAGGAGCCAACTACCAGGACCATGTTAAGGACCTACACGTAGCAATGGACGTATTAACTTGTTCTGTACAGGAGACTAACTCTGCCAGCCAGTCTCTGCTGATGCTGAGAATTTAGCTCAAAAGCTAAATGACCCAAGTCAATCCTTCAGTGGATTCACATAGCCAGCAGCAGGCTCTAAGAAAATCCTTCACAGGAAGTTATGTTCGGTTATGAGGTAACCGCAGTATGACAGGAGCTCTACTTCACCAGAGTAATCCCCACCCCTTTCATAAAGGAAGGGGGCAGGGAGGGAAGATTTTTAAGAGACAATCTGCCTCTCACACTGATGCAAACAAGCCCTAATATATTACCTATCTATCATTAGGAAACTCTGGAAGCAATAAAATGCCTGGTAAAATTCTGGAGAAGTATAATCATTCCTCCAGATCTCACTGGTTAGAGTTGACTTCTGCCAGTTTGGGTTTATTCCCTGCATCAACGTTTCAATCACTTTTACCGTGATCTGTATAGAAGCTGCTGCACTGGATGATGGTTCTCCATCACACACACACCCCCAACCTGACAACACAAACTACAAAGATCCCATACTAACCTAAATGGACTCAATTTAACATTCTCCTAAATTTTAGATACAGCTACACATTTTTGTAGGTCCCTTCTAGACAATGATGGCAACGTACATGAAAGACATTAAACTTCACAACTCTCCTGAAAGTTTATCATCTTCATTTTACTTATAAAGAAACCCAAGGATAAGTAACTTTTGAAAAGTCATTCAACAAGCCACAACCCAAAACATAAAATCTAAACACCTCTTTTATTGGGATTACTATCTGTACAAACGTTGGCAAATATAAAATGGTTTTAATATTGAGTGCTCTTCAGCAAGCAACAGCAAGTCCTGCACTTTATATGATGGATAATATCAAATAACATGATTTTATGCATATGGTTTCTGAGACACTTCTCATTCAGTTAATATTTAAAGCATATAAATGTAGAAAACACAACAGAAATAGGGGATGGATGCAAAGACAAATTATTCCTAAGTGGCCAAAGAAGGTTTACATGTGAAAAAGATGAACTGAAATCATTTCAGATCATAACCCTCCTTTTTTTTTTTTTTTAATATAAGGCTAGTAAAAGAAAATGAGAGGAGCTGGTCAAAAAGACTGTTTTTTTCTTCTTTTAAGATTACTTTTTACCAGAGAAGAAAAACACTCCTTATGATGGGTTTTAGTTCAACACCTTCCCCAGCAATTCTGCTCCTGCTCTTTGACAGCTGTCAGCAGAGCACACCTAACAGTTCTTCATGTCAAAATGCAAACAAACAAATCCTTATGCAACAGAGGATCATCACACACATGTACTGTCAGATCCTCAAAATACCATTTGCTCAACTGGAGCTACAGAAACATTCAGATCTGATCTCTGACTATACAGCGCAGAGCCCAGCTACTTACTACCTGACACAGCCACGGCGACATCCGGCTTCCCTACGCTGGTCTTTGCCAAAATAGCTGAGAGAGTATTGCCTGGGGAGCAGCAGGAAGGCTACCGAGGTTGAACTCCCTTAAAGGAGCTGATTTGCTGTTATTTTTAAAACTACATCAAGTATTACTGTTACATCTCTGCATTACTCACATCATATCTTTGTTTACAATTATTTAAACAAAATAATTGTGTTAAATTATGCATTGCAACTTCCTCATTTTACTATAGAAATAATATACACAAAATTAAGACATTTTCTTACTTCTATGTTTATTTAGAAAACTTAAAAAGCATTTTCATTCACCTTTATGTAAGATAGCAATACTGTGAAAATTACATCATAGGAACTTATAAACAGATCGCTTTCACAGTTCCAGTTATAAGGTAAGGCATAATATGATTTCAAATTGTTAATTTCTCTTCATTTTAGGACAATTTTCACTTCAGTACCTGAAGTCACGTTCCAAAAATATTAAGGTAAAAGTGTGGTTAGTTTGCAATAGTGGCCTTCCCTGCCACTTTGACTTCCTAGGTTTACTTGTAGTTTTGAAAAGTAAAAGGCTAATGTTCAACGTCTTGAAATGGCCAAACAAAAATGCATTCTCTTTGCATTCAAAAGAACACAAATCCAATAGAAAAATGAAGCAATCTATTCATCATACTTACATTTCTCACTTATATTTGTCTATTTTCTCACGATAATGCAGCCAAATAAGTTATTTTTAGAGCTATATATAGCTATGATAATACAAATAATAAATAACTTCAGCAGTTTAATTGAATACAGAACAAAGTAAGACTGCTACATTCATGGTCTACCTTTTCATAACAGAAATTATCTTGAATAATTATCAGAGAAATATCTGTATACACTATGCAAGTGGAGCAGGTACAGTATGAAACATCATTTTATTTCCATTTCATGTAAATTCCTCAGAAACATTTTCTGAATTACTCTCCTAAATTAATAACTGCAGGGTTTCCATTCCACAGAGATTGCATTTATATTCAAAAAAGGGTACTATTTCTTATATACTCCACTTTCTGATAGAAAGGTATTTACATACCCTGTTTTGGCATAGTATTACACGCTCTGAAATATTTTACTGAGCAGGTAGTGGGACAAATGGCAGGCTTTCAAACATAGATTTGTCCATATGGAAGATATGAAATAATCTACTTGTCTACATGCATTCAAATAAAGTCCATCCAATAGCTTCTTCTACAATAAACATTTTCACTCAAAATAAAACTCTCACTTTATTAACAAATATTTAATTCCAATAGCAGATCTCAATGAGAATAAAAACCATTAATGTTAAATGTTCTAAATAAAGCAAAATAGCTGGGGTTTTTTTCTTATATTCGGTGCTGGCCATGCATGTTTACTAGCAGGTGACAAGATCAAATCATGTGCTCACACTCATCTAAATCTCTTAGCTGCTCTGTATTTTACGCACCAGTTCCCTTGGATGGAATGTTTCTTCCTGTCGAAAAATCAGAAGGCCGACGGTCCCTCCCATCTTGGTGCTTCGCAGCAAGGACACAACTTCTTCTTGAGTTTTGCCTGTTAAATCGACTCCATTTACCTGTGACAAAGGAAATATTAGAAACTGATAAGACTCCAAAACAGGAAAACCAGTAGAAACTCATAGCAAAAAGTCGTGTGAATCATATGGGACAGTATTAATAAAGCCTCACTAAGGCAATCTGCTTATTGTCTCAGTATAGCTTCTGCTTAATAAAACTAATTAAACATCCGTTCTCTATATACAAATACAAATAACAAGCAAGGCAGCTATATTTCCCTCCTTTTTAGCAGCAACAGTATACTCCGGTACACTCTAAAACCAACTAATCCAATCGACCAGTACTTTTTACAAGAATTTCTGCATAAAAATCCTTTGACAAAATTAATGTGTGATCCAAAACTGGTTGTTTCCACAAGCTTCAGTGTTATACATATTTTCCAAATAGATCTTGCATAATAAATTGTGTCAAAAGTAGAAAATTATTTTTCTCCCCCCAAAATAACTTTGGAGCAGTTAGTCTTTTTTTGCCTTTGTTCAGCGGTCTGACCTCTTGGCCTCCACATACCACTTACAAGTACAGAGATGTATGGAATACATACAGGTGAATTTCCCACTGTATGAGCTAACTTGAATAAGGGAGAAGCCAAAGTACAATAGGGTATTCTGAGGCTTGCTGGTTCAGAAACATTCTGGAAATGTAAGGGAAATCAGGTAATGGTGTTAAGCAAGAGAGCACGGTGCTCAGAAGTCAGCAAATAATCTTTTTCCTTTCCCTCGTAAGAGATCACAGCTCGTGCGGTTGAGATGCCATAATCGTCGTCTTAAGTGCTTCTCAGTCCCCTTCTACCCAAGTCATCTGGGTTACCTTGAATTACAGTAATTACAGAGGGCTATCCTCCAGCAACAATTCAAGCTGACTTTCCCAATTTTGCAGTAAAGTGAAGTTAGAGCACCGAGAGGCGGTTACAGTCTCAGCTATACCGCCAGTGTCATTTGGTTTAGGGACGGTAATGAAGAGCTGCGGGTGGTAACACTTCTATCACTCCAGCTAGATTTGCAGGAAGATCTCTGCTGTGTGCCTAAGAGAAATTTAATTCCCTCGAGGACATCCTCCCTTTGGGAGGGAAGTGGCCTTGATTCTCTGTAGCACTACCCTCCTCTTACATTGTGCCTTTAAGTTAATTCACTGAACCTTGCCAGGGTATTGGCTTCCACACTTGTCAACATCTCCAATAATTTCTGGTCCGTCACTCCATGCTGATTTAATGCCTCTTATTAGATAACACTCACTTTAATTCAACGTATTCCTAAACAGCAATGCAAGACTATATTCACATAAGGAGATCTAAACTCATGTTTTCATAGCATGTCTGGGTCCAGATCTTGAAACAGTTATATCCTGAAAATGCACAGCCCTTGATCTGTTACCTGAAAAAACAAAGAAGAAAAAAAAAAAAAAAAAAGGAAAAAAAAGAAGGGGGAAACATTTTCCTATAACATAAATTACTAAGAGCCTTTGGAAGTGAATGAGTGCATGGGCTCATGCCGAAACACAGACAAACAACATGTAAGACTTCATCACCTCAATTAATCGGTCTCCAGCTTTTAGTCTTCCATCTTGAATAGCTGCACCTCTTGGAAGGATGTTTTTCACATAAATTGGAGCAGAGCCACCAATTGGGACATCTCTTGAAGTAATGCTAAATCCCAAGCCTTCTGTACCTGCATAAAGAATGTAGAATATTACTTGTTAAAATGCACATTTTATAGGCTATATTATTTTTACCCACCAGAACGCATGTATACCTCACTGACACAATCCATGAAAATACATATAAAAGATGTAAGAATTACTGCATAGCAAAAAAAAGAAAAAAAGGCATATATAGGAACACTGTAGCTGAAGCACTGAGTCTTGGCACAGGTGGCTCAGCAGGCCCTCCTTACAACTTGCTGTTCTGACGATTTCCAAGTCACTGCCATATTTCCAACTTTCTATTTCAGATGAGCTGAGTGACAAGGAATCAGAACAAAGCATATCTGATATCCTATCACTGCCTTCCCCCTTGTCAATCTGGATCTCATCAATGATCCTTTCTTTCTCTTTTGCAACTCTTTCAGCAACGTCAGTCGGCAGACACTGCTGGCCATGGGGGTTTGTCAGGTCAGTTATGGACGCTGGCAGGTGACAGACAGAACTGGAGCTCAGTGGTCTCATTTCTGCTCCCAGGGACCTCGGGCTGTTTTTTGCCAACCACTCCTCCACCTTGGGGCTTCATCTCGCCTCTCGCTGGGTCCTACCCCCACTTCTGCCACGCAGGCAGGGAGCAGAGCCAGGCGGCCACTTCTGAGGTCCTGCTGTGCATCCAGGTCACTGACTACACTTGGCTAAGACTGGCTGAAGCAAAACAGAGACGTTTAAGATGACCTGGAGAATTTCAGAGAGAGGGTCCAGTCAGTACAGCAAGTGAGGCTTGCTTGTATTTCAAAGAAATTATGCCCACAATTGGTCATTGAAGTGTACTTTAGGACCCCACCAGCTCTAGGTTTCGCAAGCCAAGAGGGCAAACAGAAGCCTTTCCTACTGTGCAGAAAGCTCATTCATGATCCACTCTTTGATGCAATCTGACTAGTGTTATCAACAACCCTTGAAACTCCACATTGAAACCCCTCCCTCCCAACATTGCACATCAAGTCTTTTCAGGACACTTAATCTAGCATGGAATGGAGACAGCCATTCAGCAGAGAGGACCCCTGTCATAGTGTCAGCATCTACAACTTCCATCTGAAACATCTCAGAGGCTGTCAAGATATGTCTACAGTTCAAGTTCACTAGATAGGCATACGCATGTCCAATCTACATTTAATCTGACCTACTAAGACAACCTGCAGTTAGGACTTGGCAATATTAGATACGGTCCCTAAAAGTTGTACAACACGCCTCTTTAAATAAAATTATGGGGATAGACAGAAGCTGAACTTTTATGCAACAGTCCTCAGCTTTGAGCCCTGGGAAGCTGAACACAACTTGTGTGAAAGATACCCAACTATAGAACCGTTTGACATTAAAGCCTGAATTACTTCTGTCTTACTGTTCCTCACGTTCATTTGCTAAGTCGACTTTTTTACGGAGCAGGTTAATATCCACACATGTGATAATGAAGCAAGGGCCAGTATAGTCAACATTAGCCTACATGGAGATTTCTGTGATCTGCACAATTGCATTTCATTAAAATTTAGTACAATGCATTTTATTATCAAGATGGTAATCATGTTAAAAAGTAAGCTGACACAGGTGACAGGGCTGGGAGGGATATAGCCTTTTAAAGCCTTCATTTTCGAAGTATGTAAGTCTTCATGCATCCACAGCAAGCGCATACAGCTCGTATTGTTCAGGAAATTTGGATCAATTCCCCTAGGCTAACTATCATGAGACAACCTCCCTTCCTTATGTCTGCAGCATTCAAGAGAGCTGAAAAACTGACATTTGAATTTGGAAGTCTTCATCCATTTTCAGGCTGATATAAAATTTATCAGTGCTATTACACAGAGATGAAAAAAATATTAGATCTCATAACATCCATATTTTACTTTGGAGACCTCACAATTTTAATGATGCTTCAAACGTTCCTAGAAGTCTTTAACTCCTTGCAACATGTGAAGATGATCTGTGTAGGCGTAAATTCTTTTAAGACACATCTCAGCTTTTTATGGAATTTATCTTTTTCTTATTTAAAGGGTCTGTGTTGAATAAGGCTCTTTGAGTACAGGTTTTGTCTGCTAAAATGTCTAAAGTATTATCAGAACATGACTGCATGCCCAGGACAATATTTCATTATTAATAAGCTTAATCCCCATAGCCTGATTACAGCGTCATTACAGATGTCTGGTTCACACACTCCACTTTAAACCCCCACGGAAAAAACAGAAGTTGAAATGTTCACATTACAAATGCACACAGGATATAAATTTGGACTGTGGCATTTTCTGCTGTCAAATCTCCAGAAAGCCTTTACCAAAGCAGGCAGAACGCCACAAATCCACACTGAGCCCAGATATTAGCAGAAGAAAATTCTAATTACTTGTTTCTGCGGAAAGAGGGGGCCTCGATGGGGCTACGCTTTGCTATGCTGCTCTGTACAGCTTAGTATCAGGCAAATTTTGGGTGTCATTTTCCTCTTTCTTTTTCACTGCTCCATTTTATTATTCGTGCGCTAGAGCTGCCCTTAGCTGTATAATTGAGCTTCATAAACTCCTACGCTTATTGTATATAAATTAGAAGTTCACAAGATTGGGAAATAAATGGATACATTCAATGAAAGCCAAAAATGAATATAACTTCTGTGACTGATTTCAAGCTTCTTTTTTTTTTACATTTTTATACACATAACTGACTTAATTATCTCTACTCTGTGCATTTCAGTTGTCCTGTCCATCCTAATATCTTCCTGCTGCTAAATATTTTTCAGTTCTTAGGGTGTAAAACTGCATTATAATAATGAGGGAACTGTTCAAACATACTGTAAAAGCTCCTCTGATATCTATGATTTATACTCGTAATATAGGAGAAACTGGACAAACATACAGGCAGAACCAGAACAAGAATAGAAAACAGAAGGAATTTCCATCTTTTTGAAAACACAGGAGTCATTCTACTCAAAGCTAGGAGCTTTACTTTGCTAGGTCTAGCTTATTTGAGCTACGTTCAACTTTATTTCTTACAGATTTTAAAAAGAGAAAGGGCAGAAAACATCTTCCTCCCTCTATAACTGTCATCTCTGACAACGATCAAATTACACCGAGTGATAATAACATTTAAAAATTACCCACTAATTTGTGTAATTCAAATTCTTAGGCTTCTTTGATAAATCAGCAGCTCTCTCGACAAGTTAGAGCTCCCCTTTTCTCTTGAATGTGATGCTGAACACGCCTTCGAAGGTTGCATTACCCTCAAGAGCTCAGCCAGCTCTGAGCTGAAGACAAACTAGTTTTAGGGGAATAAAAAGGGCACTTACAATAGTAAAAGAACCAGGTTGTACAAACAGAAGAGGGAGAGATTTGATGCTTTAGTTGCTGTTTTGAAGGCAAAAAGTTCTAGTAGCATTAAGGCGGAGGGGGGAAGGAGGACTTTCATGTAATTTAATTAAGTACATATTCAAAATGAACATCATCATCATCTTTGGAATCAGCCTGATCATAAACTGACAGGATGTTAAAACATTTATTAAATCTTACTAAAGGTGGCTAGACTTTCTGTTATCTCCCCATGAAGAAGTGATTAATTTCTCACTGATGCTAGGATTATCTCCTTGATTGTGGGAAGAGTGTGTCTGGCACAACGTTTCTGGCTTTCTAAGGCTCTGCTGTATGAAAAGTTGTGCACTCCTCATCCAGCACCAACCGCAGCTCTAAATTCTCAGCAGCAAAATGTGCTGCTGGGTAGAAACACTGCCAGAACATGAGACAAAAAAGTAAGCATCACCTCTGCATTGCTTCCAATACTTTCATGTCACTCTCAAAAGGACATTAGTTCAGAAACCCAATAAGGAACATCTGAAGGACCTACACTGTCAACTTCTTATGATACTTCTCTTAGTTAACTATCTTCCTTTTTCAGGACTGCAAGCAGAGCTAGAGGTAAATCATGCCTTTCTTTCTCCTTTAATTTAAGAAAATGCAGATAAGTTCTCAGGTACTTCAGTACAGATTTCCCTAC